CCCCAAAACCCCAAAACCCCAAAACCCCAAAACCCCTACTCTCTAACGAATAATTGAAACTCTCCGGCTTTACTTTTGATAAAAATAGAGGAACTAAAACACATATGTATCATTTAAAATAGAACAAAAGTAAATGAACATTGGAGCTAGTTTACTATAAAGCAGTGTTTTCTGCTGATATAAACCAAATGGAGCTGAATTTTCTTAATAACATCACTGTTGAATGTTAACTATTAATGATTGCTTTTGGATCTCTTGATTAATGTGACTCGAGGTTGGAAGGTCTTTGTAACAGTCTATGTTGTTATAAATCTGTTCAAAATTTAGGCTACCTTATTAAGACTTTTTCTTGGACTATCATGTGGTGACGGGCATGGATAGCTCTCTTCACTAGGCCTTATAGTATTTACTAACAGACTGTCTCTGCATGCATGAGTGAAGAACTTGATTAGGGTTGGTTCTCAGTAGCTTGGAAATAGTAGTGAACTTTTCAAGAGACTTATTGGCCTTAGACTACACTATAAGACAACTAGTACTCTATGGGACCTTGTAAAGTAATTCTTAGATTGAAACCTTGTGTTGCTGGGTTCTTCAGAGACGTATGAGTTTGATAATTTGAACCCCTTAAGACCCTTACTACATGCCGAAGCTTTCGATGCAGTAAAAGTTATTTTCTGAGTGAGGCCTGGCATGGTGGGATGGACTATGGGTTAGAGCCAGAATTACTTTTGTGCAGCACTTTTGGAAGGGAAAATTTATGCACTTTGAATTTATTGTATTTTTCTGGATTAGGAATTCCTGTATTAATTTCATCCTGCATTGAAAAAGGATCAATGTCTTCTTTAAGGTCTTTGTTTAGATCTTTATTTGTATTTCAGATTTTGTATATTTATTTCTCCATGATGTTTGATGGTAGTGGTTTCATCCTTAGTTCGAATAGCTTTCTCCTTTTCTTTTAATGCTCTAGATTGGTAAAATTTGAGACAATACTGATTTTCCTGATCTATTTCTCCTAATAATGTATCTTCAAAGGCACTGTATATAACTCTGGTGTCACTTCTTTGACTAGATGCCCTTGAATTGTGGTTAACATTTTCATCTACATCCTTATTTCATCATAATCTGGCTGTCTGTACTTGTATTTATGCTGACCTTTTTATTTGATTTGGAGAACAAAGGCTTTAGCTTGTAAATTTTAGGCTTCAGAGACTGGAAATTCAATAATTTTGTCTGTCTAGGTTGATATTCTATAAATTGTTAAGCTATTGGTACCATTTTCTGGGCTTGTCACTGGGCCCATCTCGTTATCGAAATTATTGCTATTTTCCAATTAAGTCTCTTTGTGTTGTATTTAAAGAGCAGGTGTATGATTGCTAGAATATCAGTTAATATCAAAGTTTATAACAAATTAATTTTTTATTTCTAGATTTGACGACTTTTTAGCACAAAATGCATCTAAATCGCAATTCAGTATGAAACGTTTATGAGAGGTTACTTACATTATATTTACGAAAGTGCATTTTCCTGCTCAAGACACCGATGGATCCTTGAACGATGCCTCAATACTTAACAGTATATGAATTGTTCGTCATATTTTTATAAATTATTACAATCCCATAGGGGTTTTGGGGTTTTGGGGTTTTGGGGG